CCACCAATTCCTCTTGATTCCCTGCTTAACTATTCTTAATGAAAGCTTTGCTGTCTTGCCTTAAAGAGAACACTGCTGTAGTAGGGCTAACTGATTTCTGCAAGCAGGAGGAAGAAACTCTTTCACTTACCTTCTCACGAAAATGCCAAGATCCTCCTACCACTACAGCATGCGCCTTGAAGTCGCAGACATTGATGTCCCCAGTACCACACATAAGCAACTGAAAGGCAAGGGACTGCAGTAAGAAGGTCAGAACCTCATGAAACACAGATACAGCTACTGTAAAAATAAATGCTAAAAGTGCTTAAAGAAGAAACCATCTGGCTTTACTCCAAATCCAAAGAGCTCTTTATTTCTCAGAGAGGACAGTAAGCATAGGCAGGGATGCTAAAGAAGACAGAAATTACCTCTAGCTCATTCTCATCAAAGATAGCGAGGAGGTTCTCGGGAACAAGTTCATTAAGACCTGGAAGAGAGGAGGAGGAGGAGGAGAGATCAGGCGAACAGCAGCCTCCAGGGCGTGAAGGCAGAGGAGCGGGGCGCACGCAGCACGTTACCTTTCAGGAAGTGATCCACTTCCTCCCTAACCTGATTAGCCAGCCTGTACTGCGCGAGCAGATTCAAATATAAGATTTTGTTTTCATTGGTTACAGGCACCTGAGCCCCTCCGGTCACAAGTTCAACAACCTGAAAAGAGGATATTACTTGACATGAGCAGGAAAAGTAGCATCCTCCAAACAAATTCCCTACTGGAATCCTTTCAGGAAGTGATCCACTTCCTCCCTAACCTGATTAGCCAGCCTGTACTGCGCGAGCAGATTCAAATATAAGATTTTGTTTTCATTGGTTACAGGCACCTGAGCCCCTCCGGTCACAAGTTCAACAACCTGAAAAGAGGATATTACTTGACATGAGCAGGAAAAGTAGCATCCTCCAAACAAATTCCCTACTGGGGAATAGGCAAGGAACCCTCCTTGCTATTGTACAGAATAAGCTCACTCTTCTGGGCCACAGGTGGAAGGGGCTTCCAGGCAGTAGGGGTTAAACTCTCTCACTTTCAGAACATCTCCCTCACCTTCTCTAGCTGTCCTGTTTTGCTGTACTTCTCTTCAGCAAAGACCAGATCCATCTCACTCACATCATTGTTCAGTATGAAACAAACCTTGGATTTATAGAATTCTGGGTCATCTGTTTCAAAATACTGAGAGAGAGAGAAAAAAAAAAAAAGGAAAAAAGGCAAGGGTATATGGGGCAGAAAGAAGAGAAAAAAAATTTAATATACATGGTTAACCAGAATTCTGGATTTTTTCTACTAGAACAGCATTTGGCCTCTCCCCACAAACCAACACAGGCTTCACACAAGGTGAGGAAGCCTCACCTTGTAGTGCATACGCAGCCCTATGATCTGGGCCAGGAAGGATCGGGTGAAACGAGCTCGCACCAGCTGCTTGTAAGCACCGCCCAGAGATGATTCATAAAGACACTTCCCCACCAGGCGGCCTGCAAATTCATACACTTTCAGCCGTAAATGGGGAGGACGCCCCGGGTTTGGATGAACCTGCAAAATGGAAGGGAATTAAAACATCCAAGCACCAGCAAGATTAGCACAAACAGCAGGAACAGCATCAGCTCAAGTTGCTACATTTCTCACACTGCCCAAGGTGCTATGGAGTAGTATTTCAGAGCCAAGCAGTAGAAATGAAACGCTCGAGCCTGCCTAGGAAGAATAAAAAAAAATGCTTCACATGCACAGACCACAACTTGTGAGAGAAGAAATGGATTCTGAAAGATTCAGACCCTAACACAGACCCTGATGCCATCTTCTCTACTCAGAAATCCAACCCTGTTGGCTAACCAGCTGCCCTGTTCAGGCAGCTAATTCTCTGGTGCTTCAGTAGAGTAAGATGATCCGACAAAGCTTTGAGAAAGACACATGAAGGACTGACTCCAACTTTGGGGTTGGACTAGATGACCTCTAGAGGTCCCTTCCAACCTTAAGCATTCTATGATTCTATGACTGAGAAGACCTGCTAAAACAGGGGCAAGGTTGCAAACTTCTTAATGAATTTACCAGTTAGCTAGCAGCATGCCAACACACACAGTTTTGTCCAACCAGCATATGAAACTGCAGACTCACCAGGGCCTGGTTGTTATCACTAAAACGGGTAAAGAGTTGATTGGTGGTATCAAATAACGCCTTACAGATGAGCTCAAACCACTCTCTGCGTGGACCTCCCCAGTCCAGAGCTACAAGGTAAAGCAAGTATGGTCATACATGGCCCACAACTAGTGCTCAGTATTCTCCAGTCTTTGCCTAGATCAGCACTACTCAAATTATTATTTATTTTTTATTTAAGGAGTTTGCTTCCACCAAAGGAATGCAAACACTGCAGCCAGCCTCTTTGCCAGGACCGGGCACCCTTCTGCGAAGCCTCTTGGCACTTTAAGGAAATATCATCCTGGCACAGTTCAGCTGTGGTTCAGATCCAACAACAACCAGACGTGAGCAGCCCCAGTCTTGGCCAGGGATATCAGAAAAACAAAGTCTTAGGCAAAGAACTATTGTTTCCGTTTCAATTCCAAAAATTCTTCCTACTGTTAAGCTATCTGTAAAGTAAACAGGCAGAAACATTTGCCTAATTCATTTTCCTGTAAGTACCTTTGTGTCACATTCTTGCCACTAACAGGATATTTTGTTCTCTCACATGACCTATGGTTTCATGTTCAGATTCTAAAAACAAGGCTAACTCAGCCTTGTTTTTATGTAGTTTATATGAGCAGAACTTGTGTCGCTATGCTCATATAAGTAACTACACAAAGAATTTGCCCAACCTTCTTCTTCATGACATTCACTCTCTCTGTAGCAAGTAGCACCCTTTATCAACCTAACCACCATCTACAGGTGGTTTGGGGGAGAACCAGTTAGATACAGAGGAACAACGGCTTTGTAGAAAAAAACAAACAAACAAAAAACAAACAAACAAAAAAAACCAGGGTGCAGACTCAGGAACTCTAGGTTCTGCTTTCAAATCTATGTAAAGTGAGACAGAATAACACCAGACAGATAATTTATTAGCATTTATTAGCATGTGTGAGAAAGTGACAAGGCTGGAGGCTACAGTGAATTGAGGTACCACAAGAAATAACAATTTCAGACTATCAGACAACTCTACCATCATTTTTTCTCCCCTCCCTTCCCAAGCATATTCATAAGAAATGTTAACTCACCTTCTTCATCCTGAAAAATCACTTCAAAGTTTTTGCTCCAGTCAGAAACTGAAAAATTCCGTATTGCTTTGAGAGACTGCAGAAAAAACAAAGGAAAGTAGCAAAAGTTATTACTGCTTGGCACCTAGGAATCAGTATGAAATCCTGCACATGCGGATGGGCAATTTAAGCAACACAAATCTGAATTAGCAAATCCTAGGGTCCAAGTTTTACTTATCTAAAGGCACAGAAGCCAGTTCCTCATTTTCTATTAAAAGAAATAGAAAAACATGATTCACATAAAAACAGTTAATCTTAAAAACCAGTATGTGGTTTAACAGCAGCTCAGATGTATCTCTCTCAAAGTTGCAGTGCAATATTGTTTACAATATTAAAATGCCTGTGGTAGGAGCAATTTTTGTAAAGCAGTATCTGCCCACAAGTCAGATTTAAAATAGGAAATGCTCTTTTTTAGAGAACATTGGAAAATAACTTGAAGGATTCACCAAGTTCATGAGGGGAGAGAGGGGAGAGAGGGGAGAGAGGGGAGAGAGGGGAGAAGAAGAAAAAAAATAAAAAAGGGAAAAAAAACAAAACAAACTTCTGTTATGATTCTGG